GTAGGTTCAAGTTAACAGAATCTAGTTTAAAGGGACTACAGGCGTAGGTTCAAGTTAACAGAATCTAGTTTAAAGGGACAGTAGGCGTAGGTTCAAGTTAACAGAGTCTAGTTTAAAGGGACTGTAGGCGTAGGTTAAAGTTAACAGAATCTAGTTTAAAGGGACTACAGGCGTAGGTTCAAGTTAACAGAATCTAGTTTAAAGGGACTACAGGCGTAGGTTCAAGTTAACAGAATCTAGTTTAAAGGGACTGTAGGTGTAGGTTCAAGTTAACAGAAACAATTCCCTTTAATCCTTTGACTGAAAATCGAGGAAAAAGAACTCAGTGCGTATATCTCTTAAATATTGTATAAAAAGCCGTAAACCTAGAGTGTACTTTAGCGTACTGTGTGAACAAAACGTGGCTGACATAATATTTATTCCAGGAAAACCCATCAAGGTTTTCTAAAATTCGAATGTGAATATTTACATTTCTAGGGAGTAAACATTATTATTTCTTTAATAAAAACAGCTTGTAAACAAAGTGTTCAACTTTTACAAGCGTTGCTGTTAATAAATAGGGAAAAGTAATCCTTGATCAGGCAAATGTTCAAAGGGTACCGTTGTGAATCAGGGATGTCCCTTTTTGAATGGACAATCACGTAAAACTGCGCTTACACTGTGATTTAAAGGACACACGCTCTCAAGGCAAAATTATGCCAAATGCTTCTTAAAAACCAAAGCTATATTGTGCTAAAATGTACATGGAAAGGGATTAAGTTAGACCGATACAATCAGAGCCCAAGGCGTTGCGACACTTCAAAGTCGATCCTGTCTTAAAAATCGATGAGACTTTTCATACCTGTAATATCTTAATTTACCTATATATCTTCACTCTCGCCCTTTTCATAAAAGTAAATTGTAAAGTATAAATGTTTAAATATCATAGTTTGCCGCAGTTTTGAAACAGCCGCTAACATTTATACTGGTAAAATAAAGATATACATTTTACTAAAACACATGCATTGAACTGAAAAATGATTTTGATCTTTTTAAATCTGAATTCTTGGGATCAATTTTTCTAAAACTTACAATAGTCATATGAATTTATATTCTAGCCGATACAGATTTTTAAGTTTTATATATAACACAAAAAATATTTTTCCTTTATGGTGGATATTTTAAAATATGAAAAATCTATAAATAATTTTTTCTAAAGATTACTCTTCCAAAATAAAAAATGATTTTATTCCCTGATTCAGGATATATCAAACACGATTAATGAATAAAAATACAAAAGATTTTTTCTGATAATACATCATGTTAATATATGCCAGAACATCATAGTAACGATATGTTTCAATTTATAGATAGATAGCAAACCAATATAATAATACATTTTTATTTAGGTTTACAACAAAATATTTTTTCCGATTCACTAATAGAAAAAATCAATATCGACCGAGAATAGTTGAATTTATCAAAAACTCGCAGAACATTTAAAGTACAGTATTCATACGTATCTTATTCGGTCTTTTTTATTGGCTGGATGAGTGCAGTCCTCTTCTGATTGGTTACCTAAAAATATTCAACCAATGAGAGAAAAGAAAAGTAAAATGCGTCATGGTATAAATCTCATAAATTGAATTTCGTTAACTTTTTTTTAATTTAAGATAAAAAACAAATCACAATTTTTGATTGATGAGATAAAACTTTTAAAGCATATTTTCCGGGGCTGAATTCTAAAAATAAATTTAGCTAAAATATATTCTAAAAGTTTTGCCGCATAATTGAAATTGACTGGGCAATCCGTGTCAAGTTATCAGCAATTTTAAAATTTTGAAAAATAAAACCATCTAAAAAATTATCACCTTTTAAGAATCAGACCGTAGACGTGATTTTAAGTGAAATTTATTTTTTAAAATGATATGCCTGATTCACAACGGTACCCTTTAAACCTTTAACCCTTTAATCCTTTAAACCTTTAAACCTTTAGACCTTTAAACCTTTAAACCTTTAAACCTTCAAACCTTCAAACCTTTAAACCTTTATCAGAACTAAAATTAACTTTCGAATATTATGTAGCAGGGGCAAAGAACATGATTTACAGTTAAGATGGAAAACGACGATATCTCTCCTATTGTTGCTCGATTAACATTCAAAGGTTACCGTTGTAAATCGTTTTAATGGGAGGCTCACTTGAAATCACGCTTACAGTCCCTTTAAATCTATATATAAATTTGGCTTGTCTGTCTGTTTGTTTGTTTGTCTGTCTGTTTGTATCCAATAAACGTCCAAACGGCTGAACCGATCGGGCCCAAATTTTTTGTGGGACATCTAGGGACCCCAGGGATATGGCGGATGAAGATGTGAAGGAGGGGGTGGGGATAACCCCGAAGTTGAAAGGTGAGGGGTGAGATGTATCAAATTAATATTTACTGATAACAATACTCCTAAGTTGATTTTTTTTAGTAATGACAAATTTTTAAAAAAAACGAGGTTTTTTAAATTCACTTTTCCATATAAAGTTAAAACAGTTTAAGCCAGAAAATAGAATAGGTGAAATTTGTCCTGGCAGGGAGTGTTATTCTGGGAAAGATATGGATAGGGAAGGAGGGTGGGTTGGAACTGCTTAGTGGTCAAGGAGAGGGGGAGAGGAGGGGTGGTGGGTGTCAGAGGACGAGGGTGGTGATGGAGAAGGNTCAGTGAAGGGGGGGGGCGAGGGTGCTCAGTGAATATGTCCAGATTAATCAAAATTCTTTGATTTATACTTCACTATTCAAATATTCTACAGTGGGGAATATTCATACTAAACAGGGAGTAGTAGAGCTCAGGGAGTAAACAGGGAGTAGTAGAGCTCAGGGAGTAAACAGGGAGTAAACAGGGATTAATAGAGCTCAGGGGGTAAACAGGGAGTAGTAGTGCTCAAGAAGTAAACAGGGATTCGTAGAGCTCAGGGAGTAAACAGGGAATGAACAGTGAGTAAAGCATCAGGGAATAAACAGGGAGTAGTAGAGCTCAGGGAGTAAACAGGAAGAAGAGCTTAAGGAGTGACAGGGAGTAAAGCTCAGGGAGTAAACAGGGAGTATTGTAGAGCTTAGGGATACACAGGGAGTAGAGCTCAGGAAGTACACAGGGAGTCTGTAGAACTAAGGGAGTAAACTGGAAATATTTAGATTTAGGGGAGTAAGCAGGGAGCATAGTAAAACTAAAGAAGTAGACAGGTAGTATTAAGAGCCAGGGAGTAAAAAGGGAGTAAAGTAAAACTAAGGGAGTAAGCAAGGAGTATTTAGAGCTAGGGGAGTAAACAGGAAGCATAACAAAACTTAGGGAGTAGATAGGGAGGATTTAGAACTAGGGAGTAAACAGGGAGCAAAGTAAAACTAAGGGAGTAAACAGGGAGCATTTAGAACTAGGGGAGTAAACAGGGAGCATAGTAAAACTAATGGAGTAAACCGGGCGTGTTTAGAAATCTAAACATTCATACAACCTGAAAATACAATTGAACTGATAAAAATGAAAATATCTAAGTATCTCCAGTATCTACTAGAATGGTTTAAAATTTAAACCTGAACCTGAGTCCGATTTTGAACCTATGTTTAAACCTGAACCTGAACCTAAACCTGAACCTAAACGTGAACCTGAACCTGAGCCTAAACCTGAACCTGAAACTGAATCAGATTTTGAACCTAAACCTGAACCTAAACTATTTATATCCCAAGGTTGTACATAAATCAAAACCTATTTTGTGAATAATTTATTAACACCAACAATCAATCTATTTATAAATAGAAACTTCTATTTATTAATTCGTCATAGAATTAAACAAGAGCTAAATAAAAAACAATAGATTTTAATTATTTTAAAATGTGACAAAATGTGAATTTGATGTTGTTAGAAAGGAAATAGTAGTTTAAAAATCACATTTTTTTCATTTGTCATTGAATTTGTAACTTAAAAAAAATAAATATTTAATTTTACAAATCTGTCATGAAATCTAGTTTCTTTTTACCGTCAAAATTCCAGATTCCGAAAATAACATATTTATTTAATGATTTTGCAGAACATCTCATATTAAGGTAAGGTAATAAGGAGCAATTATATTTCAGATATGATACAGTGAGAGCCAGAAAACTGTGGAATATAAAGAAGACTTTAATACTCAAATTGTAATTTTAAATAGTTTAAACACAAGAGATACAACAATGGCATATGTAATTAGGTCTTTTTAACTTAATGAAGGATGTTTTAGCTACTATTAAAACTATTTGCTTTGAAATAACATCAATTATTCACATTTTGTTACATTTTAAAATATTTAAAATCTAATTGTTACGCTCTGTTAAACTTAAGCCAGAAACAAGCACGTTGCGACACTTTAACTTCGAGGCTGTTTAAACTTTTGCTGACTAACTTTCAGAGTTGTCTAATGTCTAGATCAGTCAATGGTTAAAAGTTACCGCGTGTTTAAACGTACAGAGCTTCCCATATCATATAAGATTATCTCCGATCTTTAACGCCAAAATACGCACATAATAAATCTCGAAAATACGCACATAATACTCGAAAATACGCACATAATACTCGAAAATACGCACATAATACTCGAAAAATCTCGCATTTTCGGAAGAAAAAAAATTCTACTAACCTTATTAAATTTTTAAAGATGATTCATTCTTTTTAAATTTTTTGATTTGTCTCCCAAATCGTAATTGTACATACAACTCTGCTAATGAAGGATCACTTAGAATTATCTCTACAGTGCAGCCTTTAATACACAAAGAATGAAAAAATGGAAAACTTTTTTAAATAATTTGTTTTAAATTATAAATTAAATGACAAATAAAAAATGGACAGGGTACATGCGAAGCCCTTTATTTGCATATTTTGTATCAATAATTTTTCTATTTTTCAGTTTTGAGGATATCTGCCGAACTGATGGAACTAAGCGTCAGCTGTTCATCGGCACTGACGTCAGTATCTTCACCTTCAACTCCTCAACCCTCCTGGAGCCCATCTTTAAATGTCACGTGGAGCTGGAGGTTCAAAACTCAAACTATGGATTCTCTGTGTTTATAGGTCAGGAGAAACAAGCGAAATTTTTTTATCCATTTTGAAAAAATAAGACCCTTAATCTTGAAATTTTTTTAAAAAAGTTTTCTTGTTTGAATTATCTTGAAGTAGCTGTAAATTTAATTTCAAGTCCGATTCACAATGGTACCATTTTACCTTGTCCAATTCACAATGGTACCATTTTACCTTGTCCAATTCACAATGGTACCATTTTACCTTGTTCAATTCACTATGGTACCATTTTACCTTGTCCAATTTACAATTGTACCATCATACCTTGTCCAATTCACAATGGTACCATTATACCTTGTCCTATTCACAATGGTACCATTATACCTTGTCCAATTCACAATGGTACCATTTTACCTTGTCCAATTCACAATGGTACCATTTTACCTTGTCCAATTCACAATGGTACCATTTTACCTTGTCCAATTCACTATGGTACCATTCTACCTTGTCCAATTCACAATGGTACCATATTACCTTGTTCAATTCACAATGGTACCATATTACCTTGTTCAATTCACAATGGTACCATTATACCTTGTCCAATTCACAATGATACCATTCTACCTTGTCCAATACACAATGGTACAATATTACCTTGTTCAATTCACAATGGTACCGTTTTACCTTGTTAAATTCACTATGGTACCATTTTACCTTGTTCAATTCACAATGGTACCATTTTACCTTGTCCAATTCACTATGGTACCATTATACCTTGTCCAATTCACTATGGTACCATTCTACCTTGTCCGATTAACAATGGTACCATTCTACCTTGTCCAATTCACAACGGTACCATTTTACCTTGTTCAATTCACAATGGTACCATTATATCTTGTCCAATTCACAATGGTACCATTCTACCTTGTCTAAACCAAAATTATGCGGTTTTCTATAAAATGACTTGTAGATTTTTGCAAAATAGAGAAGGAAGGAAATTAAGAGAATTTATATCTTTTCTAATCAGAAAAAGAAATTGCCAATTGGATAAGAAGTAAAAGAACACTGTTGTGAATCAGGCATTTGACTCTGTAAACGGAGGGTAACTTGGCATTACGAATAAAGTCCCTTTAAAGACCCCCCCCCCAGTTAAGATGGATAATAAAATTTTTAATTTTAAAATTAAATACCAAATCTTTAAAAATTTTGGAGTTTGATCCAAAATTTCCTTAAAATTTCTCGATGAACCTGGTTTTCAAAGTTTGGTTGAACCGTTTTTTCTCTATGGTTTTTAAACTGGATTTAAAACTTCTAATATAATGTCAAACCAGAATCCAGTTCACGACAACTTTATATTGAAAGTATTGATCCTCTCATTTTAATAGTTCAAATCTTTAATTACCTCTGCTCAGCTCTTTTAAATAAGTTCTGAATAAAGAAGAATAAAACCGGGAAAACTAATTTCAAATATTAAGTAATTGTATTAAACAAATTCTGGGAAATTATTTGTTGAAAAATATTGTCTTGGTTAATTTGCTCACCGTGAAATCAACAAAAAATTGAATCAATTATATTGATACTTTATTATTCATATTCAAAACTAACAACCTTTGATTGCGGAACTTTTCTAAATTGGGTTGAACAAATAGGACAATTCTTATAAATTTCATTCTCAGTTACAAAAGAACGTTTTATTGGTTGATAAGTGGTTTACCGAATATGGTTCTATACGATAGCACAGGATTGATCGCACTCCTGTATGCCGAGTCCATTAGCGCCTGATTCAATCAGGGTTCAGTCTTGTGTTTGTTGTCTATTCTGAACCAATAGAAATAGTTTGGCGGTAGCATCTATCTTTGTATCTATCTCATTATCCAATTAGAGTTATAAATCCTTCAATCGGCGCTATCAGTAAATGCAAATATTACTTCTACTGAAACTATGGTGATTGGAGCCACCACATTTATTGTTGGATTGATAAACAGTTTGGAGATTGGAGATCAACCATGAAAGATTTTTAAATGAGTTGAACACGTTTAAACTAGTTTCGATCAAAAGTTGTGAGCTCTTTTTTGTATTTGTTGGCACTAATTGTTTTATTATCTTAGAGTCATTATTAATTACGTTTTCAGCTTTTTTAGATAGTTCATGTAAAGAATGTTAAGATTATTTTTGCGCATATTTTTTGTGAAACTTAAACACAAAAATCTTCCAAAGACTCGAGAGAAGTATACTTGGTCTACCTTTTAGGTTTTAAATGCCAATTTATTCATGGATTGGGAATTTTATTGGGGGGGGGGGGGGGGGGGGGGGGGGGGGAGTAAATGAATAAATAAATTTCAACCGAATTGTACCCAGAATAACTTTATACAGCAAGGTTTTAAAGTAAAACCCAATATTGAAACAGGATTAACAGGATTAACTACAAAGGATTAGACTTCAGAGACGAAAGGAATTGTGTTTTTGCCATAAACGAATTATCTAATCCCTATATCTTTGCAACCGAATGGCGTTAACCTTTTATACTTTAAGCTTTGATTATTTAATCAAACATAATTTTTAGTTTGGAATATCTCAGGTTGCAAAGATATAGGGATTAAACAATCAGAGTTTGCGGAAAAGACTTATTTCCTTTAATCAGACTTTTTCCTTACAATCAAAGTTCCTTGAACCGTCTCATTTCATTTAATCATTAAAAAATATTTTATTTTACTTATTTATCCTTCATCAAGACATGTCTTTAAGATCCCATTCTTTAAGGGTAACCCTATATTATAAAAAAAAGAGAATTACTCTTAATCAATTAATATAGAGTTTGTCTTACAACTCTCTTATTGGTGTCAAGTTCTAGCTGTAATCTGATCCATATATATATATATATAATCTACACTTCTAGTCCGAATTTGCTTCGGCTAGGATAAAAACAGTTGATGTCTGAATTATAGGAATAGTTTCCAAGTATAGGATTGTCTGGCACTGTATCAGGATGTGAAGACGACTATCTACAGTTTGGACGAGATATACTATTCGTCACTTCTCACAGGAAAACAACAATATATATATAATCTACACTTCTAGTCCGAATTTGCTTCGGCTAGGATAAAAACAGTTGATGTCTGAATTATAGGAATAGTTTCCAAGTATAGGATTAACCATGGGGGTCCCTCGTGTAAATTTAAATCCTACTGTATTGGAATATATTAATCCTCATTTTTATATCTCATTCAATATCCGTCAAAAAAAGGCGTAAGAGCCCTTAAATACCTAAATATTCGAAATAAATAGTCTAATAGTCTTCTTTTGGAAAATTATAAAAAGGAATTTCTCCAGTCCAGTCTGAGTTGTTTGTTTCTCCATGCATTATTAGATTCTGCCTTCTTTTAATTATTTTTAACGAGAAAAAGGTTCAATTATAAGTACAGGGTATCTCACTGAACATGAGAATTCAGAGATGAATTAAAGATCTAAGAATTAAATGCTTATCAAAAAAAGGTTGCCAAATTTAAAAATCCCAAATCATCAAAAGCAATCTTTCAGTCGTTACTTAATTATCATTTTTTTTATGGCCACCCTGTTGCTAAATTATAATTTTTAGTACAGGGTGAACCAGAAAACAGTGGAATTCTCGTCTTATTTTTCTTTCAACTATCAAATGTCGCTAAAAAATCAAATGGAACAATTGTAAATGACAGAAGCCGTAACGACATGTTTTATAAAATGAAGAACACTTATACCCCAGTTTTCTGGTTCTCACTGTACACTGGGTTTACCCAATTATAAAAAGAACCAAACATAATTTCAGTGTTAACTCAAGTTTAAATAATACTGCGCATTGAGTAAGAAAATAAATTTCTTATTCCTCCTTCAACAAGGTTGATTATATAACAAAGAGAAACTTTATCCCACACAAAGAAATTGTAAATAAAATAAGGAATCCTTTTAGAAGATCTGAAGAAGGACTAAATTAACTAAAGTTTCATCATATTTACAAAATTAGACATTGCAAAATGTTTTGGATCAAATTCTTGACCAAAATTTTGACTTTTAAATTACAAGAATGGCACAGACAACTAAAGGGTTTTTTATATTTACAGGGTTACCCACAAAGAATCAAACCTTAATGACAACCTGAAAAACTGCGAATAAAGCAAACCATGGGTTGAAATTGGAATATTGTTTTAAATGTATATTAAATGTACATTAAATTGTATATTAAATGTTCATTAAATGTATTTTAAATGTATATTAAATGTATATTAAATGTACATTAAATGTATATTGAATGTACATTAAATGTATATTAAATGTATATTATTTAGTCACATTGGCGACTCTCATTTTATCCCATGATACCCTTATGCTACCATGTTAAATTGAAGTTAGACTATGCATACTTGAAACCCGAAGTTTGTTTATATTTGAGAAGGTTACAAACTATGAAATTTTAGAGTTGTAGGTTTAGAAACGATGTGATAAGAATTATAATTTACAACCTTCTGCCTTCAACCATTAAATATATATACAAATCTAACCTTGTTGTTGTTGTTGTTGTTGTTATTTTCTTTAACGTTGCTTTTGTTGTTGTTGTTGCTCTAAATTTTGTTATTTTCGTTGTTGTTCTTGTTCTTGATGTTGTTCTCTTGTTCTTGATTTTGTTCTTGTTCTTGTCATTGTCCTTGATGTTGTTGTTGTTGTTGTTCTTGTTCCAATTTCAAATAATCAAACCGCCCCGAGAAGATAAACGGAAAAACCGTGTTTTCTTCACCAAAAATCTTTTTTTTTAAAGTCCCAATATTACTCTGTAGTAAAATTGAAATAAGCATTGCATGCCACTACGTCAAAAAGAAATCGTTGCTAAATGAGAAAATTGCAAATAAATTATTGCAAAAACTTTCTGCAATATTCTGCAGATTAACAAAACCCCTTATTCCACTTAACTTTGCTAACCATTATCCAATACTCTACCGGAGCTGGAAACTTTTAAATCAATTCAAATGAGTTTAAAGGGACTGTTGACGTATTTCAAATGACTCTTATTTAAAGAGTCACGTTCCTGATTCAGAACAGTACCCTTGAAACCTTTGTTAGAGCAAAACAAATGTAGATATGTAGGCTTACTTTTGTGAATCTCGCCTCCTTCTCTTTAAATGTAGGTTCACTTGCAGTACCGTCTTGCAGAACCCCATCTATGCAGTACTCTACAAATATTGTTGTTGTTGTTTTAGAAGTATAAAATATTGCGGTGATATTGAGCCCCCAGTGCCAACCAGTTCCCAAGGAAATAATGGATTTTTAACTTTTTAAACTTTTCCTATCAAACTTTGTAATTATAATAATAGTAATCAAAACAATCAGTTTTACTTCTCAATGCCAGGAATAATAAAACTGAAACAGGGTTCAACGGTTCTAAATATCAAAAAATAGTTGAGAATGATCAAACTTGAACAGGGTTCAACGGTTCTAAAAATCAAAACCAGGAATAAGAAAACTGGAACAGGGTTCAACAGTTCTAAAAATTAAAACCAGGAATAAGAAAACCGGAACAGGGCTCAACGGTTCTAAAAACAAAATTAGGAAAAATAAAACCTTGGCAAAACTGATTTAAGGGTCCACTTAATAGAAGAAAATTAAAGCTGATTATTTTGTCAAATATGCAATATTTGCTAATTTTCTGCAAAAAAAATATATAAAAAAATATTATTTTGTTCTTTATTTATATATAGAATTCTAGGAATATAAAATTGTTGAGAAACAAGTCACATATCTGGTTTGCAATAAATTTCAAAACTCCATTATAGGGTTGACTGGATTCGATTTTCCATATACACCTTTAGGAACACTATGCATATCTTCTAAACCTACAAGTATAGTAAATAACCAGACAGGAATAGGAAGTCGACTTTTAGACTCAAGTTACGACTTTAAAGTCCAATAAACATGAGACACAGCAAATGTGCAGTCTAAACAGACCTATTTCACTTAATAAGTGATTTAATAACTTTATAGTTAAGGTCTTTGCTTTGTTACAACATCAATTCACCTTAATTGTTTTAATGTCGTCTCCTTATTCTATAGTTGTTGTAGTACCTATAGCTTTACAGTAGTATAAACAGAATACTGTGAAATGATGAACGACAATAGTGTTCCTCTGTTTCCGGTTGCCACTGCAATGCAGAAAACTAATATCCGTCTTCAGAGCTAACTTATGTTTTATGTTAGGTATCGAATTGTTGATGGGAATGTAGAAGTGTGAGGGGTGTTTAATACGGTGTCAAGTAGAATTAAGAATTCTTCTAATAAGTATAAAGATTAGGTGTAAGGAGGATTATAAAGTTTAAGGGGCCCATAGGAGAGTTAAAAAAGTAAGTTTCCTAGATATATAATTATATGAATATATATAAATATTTAAGATTTTCTTAATAATGTTTTAAGGAAGTATTTCGGTTAGAGTAAAGATAAGAACTGTCCTTGTTTTTTAGCAGGAGATTTAGCTGGAATTTAAAAGATATTTGAAAGAATAAAATGAAAAGAGAGGAGGGAGAATGTTCCAGTTTAGAGAGAAAGTGATTGAGTAGACCTATGGGAGCAGGAGTAAGGAATACTGTAAAATCTAAATTAAAAGGAGAGTTCACGAAAACGAAACGGAAGCGATAATATTATAAAATCACAAACCGATCGTCACTATATTTATTTCTATCCGATGTTTACACAATGAGAATTTGAAATAAACTGTCCTCTATGAAATTTTAATTTATTTGTACCAGCAGAGCCTGGGATTTAAAAACCTCATCTCGAGCTGTAATTCCTTAAACCCGACTTTAAGAGCCAATTTTCGACTCTGACGACAGCTTGTGTCACGTGATTGATAGCTGCAAGATCTTCTACTCGACTTAAGGAGTAGGCCCAATGAAAATAAAACCGACCTTGGTTGGTTTTAGTGGAGAATAAGGCTCAATGTTGAGTTTTGTTCTCATAAAACCCGGAATGCGCCAATTCCTACCATGAAAATCCGCCAAATAGAATATTAAACCGGTTTTTTGAACTCAACTCGGTGGAAAATAAGATGCAACTTGAATCCGAAAGCTCAAGTAATAAGGCCCAACGACAGCTTAGACCCGAGCCGTATTTTTCCGAATTTTTTAAATCGCGGGCTCAGGCAAGACAAGACAGAGCTCCAGAGACATTTTCGCCGCTTGTTTGAGTTTAATTTAGTTTTGTCAAACTCTGATTTTATCTATATCTTTGCAACCCGATGTTGTAGACCTTTGATATTTTAAGATAAAAAATTCTATATAAATGATAAAATGGTCTAAGTTTGAAATATCGAAATGTTTAAACAGGTTACAAAAATATATTCGAAAATATGAGTTTGTGGCTAAAACTCAGTTTCTTTAGAAATGAAAGAAGCAAGGATGTAAAACAAAGAAATGGGTTGAAAATAAAATAAAAGTAGAAAACTTAGAACTCTGTAGCAATGTTTTGATGGAGATGTTAAGAATTGATGAGAAAATAACGAACTAGTAATCTCACTTATCCAACTATATTCCGGTAACAGGAGCTCAGAAATATATTGAACATTATAATTTTCTGATCCTAATAATTTTTCAACCTGATCGTGTAAACCTTTAATATTTCAAGCTTAGATTATTTGATCTGCCAGAGTTCATAGTTTGAAATATAAAAGCTCTACGACATAGGGTTGCAGAGATATAGGGATAAAAATCAAAGTTTGTGGCAAAAACTTATTTACTCTTTTGAAAACCCGCCTCAAACTCTAAATATTTAATCTTTACAATTTTTAAACCTATATCGTGTGAACCTTTGATATATCAAGCTTTAACTATTTGATCTGGCAGAATTCAAAGTTTGAAATATCTAAGGTTTCCATCAGGTTGCAAAGATGGATTGAACAGTCCATTAACATAAATAACTGGTTAACCCTGAATATGCATGTGTAACGTGTGTCTCTAGTTCGACGAATCTATACCGAGGAGCTGGACAAGGATATGGATGTATGGTTGAGGATTTCTACGGCAGAATCCTGGTCGAAATCTTTAACTCTAGTGGTGACCCCGTTTAAGAAGTTCTGTGGTTCCCAGGATCTACAGTATAGACAGTGTAGATATTCAACTAAATGCGTTCGACGAGAACTTTTCTGCGACGGACGGGTCAACTGCGCCTGGCCATACGCTGAACCTGCAGGTAGACAGTATGTACAATGTGTTTGTACAATTAAATACAGTATACAGTATGTACAATGTACACTGTACAGTATGTACAATGTACAGTGTACAGTATGTACAATGTACAGTGTACAGTATGTACAATGTACAGTGTACAGTATGTACAATGTACAGTGTACAGTATGTACAATGTACAGTGTACAGTATGTACAATGTACAGTGTACAGTATGTACAATGTACAGTGTACAGTATGTACAATGTACAGTGTACAGTATGTACAATGTACAGTGTACAGTATGTACAATGTACAGTGTACAGTATGTACAATGTACAGTGTACAGTATGTACAATGTACAGTGTANCCTAAACACATTTCTTTATATTTTCACTGGTTTTCTATAGGGTTTAAAGATATTAGTATTCTGGTAGGATAGTCTCAATATGAACGCCTGGGTAAAATTGTAAATTAGAACTGGAAGAAAAGTTGGAATGATTTGTATGCTAATCTTTAAGTAGATTGGACCAAATATTTCCACAGAATAGTTACAACTTTCAGTAAAAGCAAAACCTGCCAAATATATCTAGGAATATCTAGAAATCATTAAAAATATCTAGAAACTTGAAGGAAAATACAGAACGCAAGAGAAATATCTTGAAACCTCTAAAGGAATATCTAGATATCTTAGGATATTTTAAGCAACTGGTATATCTTGGAAAATTTATAAATACACGAATTTAAGAAGATTGAGCTCAAAAAGTGTTCTTTATATTCTCCTCTTTTATATTGCAGTGCTTTTAAACCAAATTTACGATAGGTCACAATTTCCATTTTCTTCAGGTATCATTCGAGATTTAGTTTGTCCAAACTTTTCTCTAGTTTCGGGTTTAGACTCCTATACTCTCAATGCAGGTTCAATTTCCTGTTCTCTCCAGGTTCAGTTTCCTATTCTCTCCAGGTTCAGTTTCCTATTCTCTCCAGGTTAAGTTTCCTATTCTCTCCAGTTTAAGTTTTCTATTCTCTCTAGGTTAAGTTTCCTATTTTCTCCAGGTTTAGATTCCTATTCTCTCCAGGTTCAGTTACCTATTCTCTCCAGGTTTAGTTACCTATTCTCTCCAGGTTTAGTCACCTATTCTCTCCAAGTTTAGCTTTATATTCTATCCAGGTTTAGTTTTGTATTCTCTCCGGGTTGAGTTTCCTATTCTCTTCAGGTTTATTTCCTATTCTCTCCAAGTTTAGTATCCTATTCTCTCCAGGTTTAGTTTCCTATTCTCTCCAGGTTTAGTGTCCTATTCTCTAAAGGTTCAGTTTCCTATTCTCTCCAGGTTTTGTCTATTATTCTCTCCGGGTTTTAGTATCCTATTCTATCCAGGTTTAGTTTTGTATTCTCTCCAGGTTTCGATTCCTATTCTCTCCAGGTTTAGATTCCTATTTTCTCCAGGTTCAGTTTCCTATTCTCTTTAGGTTTAGTTTC